CCCCGCTGGATCCTCTTCTACGGAATGATTTCTGAGTTGCTGCTCCGCATCATATACTCTACTTTGGTATTCGCCACCGGCCTATTACATATCCTCCTAGTTTTAACCGTTGCCGACACCGTCTTTCCAATTGCAGTCTTCTTCCTCACCAAAGGACCCAGGATTGCCTTACTCGTCATCGCAACCTTCATTGGTACACTTTCTTCCCCAATCATCATCATCATCATCATCATCATTATGATCAGTACTTAAATTTTTAGCTGTTTTAGATGTGATTTTTGAAAGTTTGCAGAATATATATATATATATATATTTGAAAAACAATTTTTAAAAAAAACACCACCACATTATACAATCTAAAATACCTGAATTAAAGCATGTTGTTGATAATACTTCACCAAGCGATCCAAGCGTCTTACCTCAATCCAAACGTGTTGTTGATAATATCTTACCAAGCGATTCAAGTGTCTCATCTCTAAAGTGATTCACCTTGCACCATCTTCAATTTATTTTTGTGTATATTTTTCTACAAATCTTAAAAATTCTGATGGTTAATTTTTGTATAAAATACATCTGATATATATATATATATATAACACAAGATAGACTTTGCATGGAAGAGGAATCCTTAGGGATCTATATCTTTTACTTGTAGGAATAAAATAAAAGATGTATGTTTTATCTTAAATATGCGAACTTATTCAAATTTTTATTAATTATCTTTTACATAGATAATATAGAACTTTCACTAATTGCAATAATGTCCATCAACATATTACAATTAAACCTCTAAAAGTATAGAATTATAAGTGAGGCCCTTTCTTACAATTAGTCACAAACTTCCTTCCACCAAACTATATTCCACATAAGCTACTAGGTATGGACAAATTTATCACTGTCAAAAACCCTGAGTTCTAAATTTTTCCTTTATCTAATTGGATCACAAAAGCATTTTTCAAAAAATAGTACTTTTGTAATTATACATGTATAAAAAATATTTTTATGAAAAAGTTACAGGCCGATTTTCTTTTGGTCTAATGTTAATAGAAAAACTTGCTTGAATATATTTTCTCACTTTGAGAATGGTGGATTCCATGTTAAGCACATATATAATTCAATTACCACTCACACAACCCAACATGTCTATGTATAGCCTTTGGTTTGGCTTCACCAATTGACGATATCAAAATTAAATGAATAGTTAATTAATTTATATAAAACTCTCAGGTCAAAGGAAAATAAGTACATTGTAAAAGAACTACCTTTCAAACTGACAGTGATCATTCTATAGGTATTATCAAAACCGATCATGTTCAGTGCATGAACTTATTGCATAACAGCCACCTATTTGCCTAAGGTCACTGCCTCAATGATGGAGTTAATCATTCTATCATATAGTAGCAAAACAAGTGCAGGCCATAGCAGTGCGATGCTCAATCAACACCCATAGCCTAGAACATTAACTAGGTCTACAAGGCACCAAAAAATCATAACTCCCAACTTTTGGTTCATTAACCATTAGCATGTTTTTCTATAATGTCACCCAAGGGACATTATGTTCACATCATATGTAACATTAAATATAACATTACACAGAATAATAAAATACAAAGCGCAAAATAAAATGCCAAGTAATTTATTTAATCAGTTAATAAAGTCAACAAATTGGGTTTTGAGTGCACAAATGCTAACATTCTCCCACTTGCACTCAAAACCAATTACACATTTATTCCATACCCATTATCTCCAAGGACCTGCAACATTTTCAGCTGATGCAATCTTTGCTATTGACATATCTCTTCTATGAATGATATCACGTATCAACTGAAATCTACACTTAATGGGCTTTGTCCTTCGATAAGCCCTAGGCTCAATAGCATGTGCAACAGTGCCGATATTGTCACAATAAACAATTATAGAAGATTCAATTGTTAGGACAACACCTAGTTCTTGAATGAACTTGCGTATCCAAACAGCTTCCTCTGTAGCTTCACTTGCAACCACATACTCTGCTTCAATTGCAAAATCTGCAGTAGTATCTTGCTTGCAACTTCTCCAACTTATTGCTCCCTTTCCAAGAGTGAACAAAAAACCTTAAGTTGATTATCTATCATCGATATCAAATTGAAAATCTAAATCGGTGTAACCCTCAACAACCAAATTTTCGCTACCAAACACTAGAAAGTATTGTTTAGTCCTTTTCAAATATTTCAAAATGTGTTTCTCTACTGTCCAATGCTCTGGACCTGGATTGGATTGGTATCTACTCACAATGCTCACTGCGTAACAAATGTCAGGCCTAGTACAAAGCATTGCATACATAACACTTCCCAATGCCGAAGCATAAGGAATATTTCTCATTTTCTCTCTCTCCTCTTGTGTTTTTGGTGCCATTCCCTTAGAGAGATGAATTCCATTCCCTTGGAATCTTGCATGCTAAATCATACCAAGACTTTGTCAATATAATTGACTTGTGAGAGCCCAAGTAATCTTTTCTTTCAGTCTCTAAACAATTTGATCCCGAGTATATAACTAGCTTCACCAAGGTCTTTCATTACGAAGTGATTAGATAACCATACTTTGACTCATGACATTACTCCTACATCATTCCCAATGAGTAGTATGTCATCAACATAGAGAACCAAAAATACTTTGGCACTCCCACTGACCTTCTTGTAAACACAAGGTTCATCCATATTTTACGAGAAACCAAATGATTTGATTGCCTTGTCAAAATGAATATTCCAACTCCGAGATGCTTGCTTGAGACCATAAATGGGCCTCATTAATTTGCACACTTTATTTTTAGTACCATGAGATATAAAACCTTATGGTTAGTGTATATAAATTTCTTCTTGAATATAGCCATTCAAGAATGCGGTTTTAACATTCATTTTCAAAATTTCAAAATCATAGTGTGCAACAACTGACAATAGAATTCTTATAGACTTTAGCATGGCTACTGGCGAAAAAGTTTCTTCATAATCGATACTGGCCTTTTGGTTATACCCTTTTGCCACTAGTCTTGCTTTGTAAGTCTCTACCTTTCCATTGGGTCCTAATTTTCTTTTATATACCCATTTGCAACCTACGGGTTCAATACCCCTAGGTTTATCTACTAAGGTCCAAACCTTATTAGAATACATTAAGTCCATTTCAATTTCATGGCTTTTTGCCAATGCCCAGCATCTTTGTCATTAATTGTCTCTTCGTATGTAAATGGATCATCATCAGACAATTCTGAATCCATTTGATAAATCTCATTTAACAGTGATAAATAAACTAGAGGTCTAATGATCCTTTTCCCACGCCGAGGTTCTTGTGCAACAATTGGTTCAGTGGGCTTACTTATTTGTCCTTTACTTTGACAACTTGCCCAATCCATTGAAATATCAGTTACATCTTCAAGAAAAATTCTTGTACTCTTTTCATTGAAAATATAATCCTCTTCTAAAAAAATAGCAATTCTGCTAAAAATAATTTTTTGTTCTTTAGGATTATAAAAATAGTAACCAAATGCCGTCTTAGTATATCCAAGGAAAATGCATCTATTAGTTCCTAATTCCAGTTTATCAATATTTTTCTTTTTCATGTGTTGGACAACCCTATATCCTAATATGCTTTAGATTAGGCTTTTTCCAAGTCCATAATTCATATGGAGTTCTAGGAACTGATTTAGTTGGAACTCTATTTAACAAATAAATAGCAGTTTCTAATGCAAATTCCTAAAAGGAAATTGGCAGTTCTGACATGCTCGTCATTGAACAAGCCATATCTAATAAGATTCTATTTTTTCTTTCTGCCAACCCATTTTTTTGTGGTGTGCCCATGGGGATTAATTGAGATATGATACCATTCTCTTTTAAATAATTTCAAAAATCATCTAAAAGGTATTCTTCCCCACAATCTGATCAAAGAGCTTTGATGCTTGTCCAAGTTGCTTTTCTACTTCACTACGAAATTCCTTGAACTTTTCAAAGGATTTAGACTTATGTTTCATTAGGTACAAATAACTATACCTCGAATAATCATCGGTGAATGTAATAAAATAGTAAAAACCACCTCTTGCCATGCGATTTATTGGACGACAAACATCTGTGTGTATCAATTCCAAAGCTTCTGTCGCTCTAATTCTTTTTCCTAAAAATGGAATTTTAGTCATTCTTCCTTGCAAGCAGGGCTCACAAATTAGATAAGGCTCAATTTTCAAAAAATCCAAAGGCCTATCCTTGATCAATCTATTTAGACGTTCTAAATTGAGATGACCAAGTTTCAAGTTCCACTTGTAAGTTTAATTAACACCCCTTTGTTTTTTTTAAGGGGTAACACATCGGTGGATATATCATTCTCAACACAATTAATAGAATTATGCATAGGACTAATAAAGTACAGACTATCTATTAAAATGCCAGAAACCACAAATTTATTATTGTGCTTAATAACAACTTTTGAAGAAAAGGAAAAACAATATACCAACGAAATTAACTTTGAAACAAAAATTATATTTCTACAAATATCTAGAACAAGTAGACAATCTTCTAAAGATAGAGTCCTATTAACTGATAATTCCAAATAAAAAGTTCCTATGGAAACTGCAACAACTGTTGAACTTGTTCCCAACTTTATTAGCATCCCCCATTCATTAAGCCTTCTGGTCTCCTTGAACCCCTGCCACATATTGCAAATATGTGAGGGCGCAGCAAAGTCTACACACCAAGCATTACAAGGGCCAATCAATAAATTGGTTTCAATAACAAACAAATTTAACATACCTTCTGTAGATTTGTCCTTTTTCAATGTTGCCAAATAATGACGGCAGTTTCTCTTCCAATGGCCAAGCTTTCCGCAATGGAAACGATTTCCTTTGCTTTTCTTTATATTTATGCCCTTTTGAAAAACACCTAGTGTTTTCCCACTGAACTTAGAGCCCATAGGTTTCTTATTAAAATTATTCTTTCCCTTGGGCTTGAATTTTCTAGGACCTTCCTTCTCACCCATCATCATAGTGGGTTACCTTTTTTAATAACATCCTCTGTTGATTGCAACATATTGAGCAGCTCTGATAGTGCAACAATCAACTTATTCATATTGTAATTCAAAATAAACTGATTATAAGAATCTGGTAAAGCTGAAAGTATTGCATCAATTTTAGTTTCACCATCAATATTTACATCCAAATTTTCCAGTATGTTAATGAAAGATATCATTTTCAAAACATGTTCCCGTACTGGAGTACCTTCCACCATTTTAGCGGACATCAAAGCTTTCATGGCAATTTGGCATGCACTTATGCTATGTTCTCCAAACATTTCTTTCAAATTAACCATCATGTCTTTTGCAGTAGGAACACCCTCATGCTGCTTTTGCAACACATTGGTCCTTGAGGCCAATATACAGCATTTTGCAACATCATCCGCCTCATGCCACTTCCTAGCAGCCTCATGTTGTTTATCAGTGGCGTCCGCCTTAGGGAGCGCAAGTGGATCAGTGGTTAGGACATGGTTAAGTTTTTCAACAGTGAGGACAACTGTTAAATTTCTCTTCCAATCCACATAGTTTGGTCCAGTCAAACGATTATCATCAAGAATTTTGGACAAAGGATTAAAGTAGGTCATTTTGAACTACATATGTTAAAAATTAAAAAAATAAAAAAATAAAAAAGCACATCTCAAGATAATAAAAGTATTGCATTGCATATAAATCCATAGGATGCAGGATTTTGAATTTACTATGGTAATGCTCACTAGAATTATCATTCAAACAATCATAAACAATTTATAAGCCCACAAATGTAACACTTATATTTAAAACATTCATTGTAAGCATTGGGAAACCAATCCTGCATGTACAAAAATTTCCTTTGAAATAAATGAACATACCTTGAATGGGTGGGTAGCTACTACCCATTATAATATCATCTCATGTTATCTTCTTTTTTTTTTCTTTCTTTTTCTTTTAGAAAAATTAAATTTATTTATGACTCCCAATTTTTCTTTTGGCCTCCAAATCAACACATATGACACCTTTTGGTTACCATATAGTATTTGTCTAAGTGCAAACCATTGTTTAGATACATATCATGAACATGTAAGATTAAGCCTTCATTTTAGCCGACACTCCCACTAGTCGCACTTATGCTTTTCACAAAACAAATAAAACAAACTAATTAATTAAGTAATTTTTAATTAATTAATTATTATTAATTGATTAGCTTATTTATTTATTTATTTTGTGAAAAGTATAAGTGTGACTAGTGGGAGTGTCTGCTAAGTTGAAGGCATAATCTTACATGTTCATGCTATGTATCTGAATAACGGTTTGCACTTAGACAAATACTATATGGTAACCAAAATGTGTCATATGAGTTGATTTGGAGGCCAAAAGAAAAATTGGGAGTCATAAATAAATTTAATTTTTCTAAAACAAAAAGAAAAATGATAACATGAGATGATATTCTGATGGGCAGTAGCTATCCACCCATTCAAGGTATGTTCATTTATTTCAAAAGAAATTTTTGTACATGTAGGATTGGTTTCCCAATGCTCTCTATGAAAGTTTTAAGTATAAGTGTTATATTTGTGGTGCTATGAATTGTTTATGATTGTTTGAATGCTAGTGTGTAGTACCATAGTAAATTCAAAATCCCGCATCCTATGAATTTATATACAATGCAATACTTTTATTATTCTGAGACGTGTTTTTTATTTATTTATTTATTTTAATTTTTAACATATGTAGTTTAAAATGACCAACTTTAATCCTTTGTCCAAAATTCTTGATGATAATCGTATGACTGGACCAAACTATGTGGATTGGAAGAGAAATTTAACAATTGTCTTCACTGCTGAAAAACTGAACCATGTCCTAACCATTGATCCACCTGTGCTCCCTGAGGCAGATGCCACTGATGAACAATGTGAGGCTACTAGGAAGTGGCATGAGGCGGATGATGTTGCAAAATGCTATATATTGGCCTTAATGACCAATGTGTTGCAAAAGCAGCATGAGGGTGTTCCTACTGCAAAAGACATGATGGTTAACTTGAAAGAAATGTTTGGAGAATAGAGTAGAAGTGCACACCAAATAGCCATGAAAGGTTTGATGTCCACCAAAATGGTGGAAGGTACTCCAGTACGGGAACATGTTCTTAAAATGATATCTTCCATTAAAATATTGGAAACTTCGGGTGCAGATATTGATGGTGAAATTAAAATTTATTCGATAATTTCATCTTTACCAGATTCTTGTAATTAGTTTATTTTGAATTACAATATGAATAAGATGATTGTTGCACCATCAAAGCTGCTCAATATACTGCAAGCAGCAGAGGATCTTATTAAAAAGAGTCAATCCACTGTGATGATGGATGAAAAGGAAGGTCCTAGAAAATTCAAGCCTAAGGGAAAGAATAATTTTAATAAGAAATGTATGGGCTTCAAGTTCTCTGAAAAAACACTAGGTGTTTTTAAAAAGGGCATAGATAAAAAGAAAAGCAAAGGAAATTGTTTCCATTGCAGAAAGCCTGGCCATTGGGAGAGAAACTACCGTCATTATTTAGCAACCCTGAAAAAGGAAAAACTTTCGGAAGGTATGTTAAATTTGTTTGTTATTGAAACCAATTTATTGATTGGTCCTCCTAATGCTTGGTCTGTAGACTCTGGTGTAACCTCACATATTGCAATATGTTGCAGGGGTTCAAGGAGACCAGAAGGCTTAATGAAGTGGAGATGCTAATAAAGTTGGGAACAAGTGCAACAATTGCTACAATTTTCATAGGAACTTTTTATTTGGAATTATCATTTAATAGGACTCTAGTTTTGGAAGATTGTCTAATTGTGCCAGACATCCATAGAAATTTAATTTCTGTTTCAAAATTAATTTTGTTGGGATACTGTTTTTCCTTTTCTTCAAAGTTGTTATTAGACACAGTAACAAATTTATGGTTTCTGGCATTTAAATAGATGGTCTTTACTTTATTAGTCCTATTGATAATTCTATTAATTGTGTTGAGAATGATATATCCATTGGTATGTTACCCCTTAAAAGAAAAATGGATGTTAATCAAACTTACATGTGGCACTTGAAACTTGGTCATATCAATTTCAAATGTCTAAATAGATTGGTCAAGGATGGGACTTTAGATTTTTTGAAAATTGAGCCTTATCCAATTTTTAAGCCCTGCTTGCAAGGAAAAATGACTAAAATTCCATTTCTACGAGAAGGAATTAGAGCCACAAAAGCTTTGGGATTAATACACGCAGATGTTTGTGATCCAATAAATGACATGGCAAGAAGTGGTTTTTACTATTTTATTACATTCACCAATGATTATTCTAGGTATGGTTATTTGTACCTAATGAAAGATAAGTCTGAATCTTTCGAAAAGTTCAAGGAATTTTATAGTGAAGTAGAAAAGAAAATTGGAAAAAGTATCAAAGCTCTTCGATCAAATCGTGGGGTAGAAATACATTTTAGATGATTTTTGAAATTATTTAAAAGAGAATGGTATCATGTCTCAATTAGTACCCACGGGCACACCACAAAATAATGAGGTGGTAGAAAGAAGAAATAGAACCTTATTAGATATGGTTCGTTCAATGATGAGCATGTCAGAACTGTCAATTTCCTTCCGGGAATTTGCATTAGAAACTGCTATTTATTTGTTAAATAGAGTTCCTACTAAATCAGTTCCTAAAACTCCATATGAATTATAGACTGGGAAAAAGCCTAGTGTAAAGGATATTAGGATATGGGGCTGTCCAACACATATGAAAAAGCAAAATGTTGATAAACTGGAATTGAGAACTGATAGATGCATTTTCCTTGGATATCCTAAGATGACATTTGGTTACTAGTTTTATAATCCTAAAGAACAAAAAATTATTATTAGCAGCAATACTATTTTTTAGAAGAGGATTATATTTTCAATGAAAATAGAATAGGAATTGTTCTTGAAGATGTAATTGATATTTCAATGGATAGGGCAAGTAGTCAAAGTAAAGGACAAATAAGGCCACTGAACCAATTGTTGCACAAGAACCTCGACGTGATAAAAGGACCATTTGACCTCCAATTAAGTTATCGTTGTTAAATGAGATTTATCAGATGGAATTAGAATTTTCTGATGATGATCCATTTACGTACGAAGAGGCAGTTAATGGCAAAGATGCTGGGCATTGGCAAAAAGACAAGGAATCTGAAATGGGCTCAATGTATTCTAATAAGGTTTGGACCTTAGTAGATAAACATGAGGGTATTAAACCCATAGGTTGAAAATGGGTATATAAAAGAAAATTAGAACCCAATGGACAGGTCTACAAAGCAAGACCAGTGGCGAAAGGGTATAACCAAATGGCTGGTATCGATTATGAAGAAACTTTTTTGCTAGTAGCCATGTTATAGTCCATAAGGATTCTTTTGTCAATTGATGCACACTATGATTTTGAAATTTGGCAAATGGATGTTAAAAGCGCATTCTTGAATGGCTATATTCAAGAAGAGATTTATATGCACCAACCAGAAGGTTTTATATCTCATGGTGCCGAAAATAAAGTGTGCACATTAATGAAGTCCATTTATGGTCTCAAGCAAGCATCTTGGTGTTGGAATATTTGTTTTGACGAGGCAATCAAATCGTTTGGTTTCTCGTAAAATATAGATGAACCTTGTGTTTACAAAATGGTCAGTGGGAGTGCCAAAGTATTTTTAGTTCTCTATGTTCATGACATACTACTAATTGGGAATGATGTAGGAGTAATGTCATCAGTCAAAGTATGGTTATCTAATCACTTCGCAATTCCTTGGGGAAGCTTGTTTAGAGACCGAAAGAAAAGATTACTTGGGCTCTTACAAGTCAATTATATTGACAAATTTAGCATGCAAGATTCCAAGAAAAGGTTTCTACCTTTTAGACATGGAATTCATCTCTCTAAGGGAATGGCACCGAAAACACAAGAGGAGAGAGAAAAAAATGAGAAATATTCCTTATGATTCTGCAGTGGGAAGTCTCATGTATGCAATGCGTTTTACTAGGCCTGACATTTATTACGCAGTGAGCGTTGTGAGTAGAAACCAATCTAATCTAGGTCCATAGCATTGGACAGCCTTGAAACACATTTTGAAATATTTGTAAAGAACTAAACACTATTTTCTAGTGTTTGGTAGTGAAAATTTGGTTGTTGAAGGTTACACCGATTCAGATTTTCAATTTGATATCGATGATAAAAAATCAACTTCTAGTTTTTTGTTCACTCTTGGAAGGGAGCAATAAGTTAGAGAAGTTGCAAGGAAGATACTATTGCAAATTCTACAACTGAAGCAGACTATGTGGTTGCAAGTGAACCTACAAAGGAAGCTGTTTGGATTCGCAAGTTCATTTAGGAACTAACAATTGAATCTTCTATAATTGTTTATTGTGACAATACCGGTGCTAGTGCACATGCTATTGAGCTTAGGGCTCATCGAAAGACAAAGCACGTTCAGCCTAGATTTCCCTTGATACGTGATATCATTCGTAGAGGAGATATGTTAATAGCAAAGATTGCATCAGCTAAAAATGGTGCAAATCATTTCACAAAAGCCTTAACTTAGAAGGTTTTTGAAAAGCATTTGGAGATGATGGGTATTAAATACATGTGTAATTGGTTTTGAGTGCAAATGGGAGAAATGTTAGCATTTTGTGCCCTCAAAAACCAATTTGTTGACTTTATTAACTTATTAAATAAATTGCTTGGCATTTTATTTTACACTTTGTATATTATTATTCTGGGTAATGTTATATTTAATATTACATACATATGATGTGAACATAAGGTCCCTTGGGTAACATTGTAGAAAAACGTTCTAATGGTTAATGAACCAAAAGCTGGGAGTTATGATTTTTCGCTGCCTTGTAGACCCAATTAATG